GCCGGGGCTGGCGCAGGTGCCAGGATGCAGAGGCTGTCGTGTCCCGTTGCGACAGAGCCCCGCAGCCTGCCATGTGCTTGCTGCCGGCGGCGCCCAGGCCCCCTGCGGCAGCAGGGGCGCCCCCAGTGCCGCTCTGGGCGGCAGCCCACCTGTGGCGCTCTGGTTGGCGGCCACCCACTTGCGCACGCGGCTGAGCTGGCGGGGGGTGGCGGGCTTGTAGGCGGCGGCTCGCTGCAGGCTGCGCTGCGCCACCGCCTGCTCCGCGGCGTGCAGGTGCGGGGAGAAACAGCGCGTGGAGGGGCCCCAGGCAAACCCCACGTCGGGCGGCGCCTCCAGCAGTTGCTGCATCGTCAGGCCGACGGGGGCGCCGCGGGAGGCGTCGCCGGCGGCGCCCGCGCCGCCGCCGCCGCCGCCGCCGTGGGCGCCGTCCCAGGCCAGCTTGATCCTGTCGGCGGTCTTGGGCCCCACCTTGCGGCACTTGCTGCACGGGGGGCGGGGAGGGCGGCGGCGGCGGCGCTCGAGCCGGACGCATCCCGGCGCTGCTGCCTGCCCCCGCGCCCACATGCTCACACAACACTGAAGGCGCCTGCAGCGCACACCATCGGTCTCACGGCAGGCGCGCCCCGCGGCAGACCTCAGCTCAGGCTGTCGGTCCCTCACCCACCCCCCCTGCGCCTCACCACAGCTGCTTCACAGCTTCCGGATACTCTCCGTCCAGTACCGCCAGCACCCCCTCGCCGTATCCCGCCAGCAGCGAGTCGACCAGCGCGGCAGACACGCCTGCAGGGCAGAACGGAGCGGCGGCGGCGGCGGGGCGGCGGCAGGCCAACGACGCGTGGGATTCAGGCGGCTGGCTGCGAGCCTTCAGGCGGCTGGCAGGCTGGGAGCGAGGCTGGACGCGAGGGGGCGGCTCGACAGGTTCTGCCCACTGTCGTGCACACAGAGGCCAGCGGGCGCCAGCGCGCACTGCCCCAGAGCCGGCTGGCGCCACACGGGCGCACGCCCACCTGGCAGCTTGCCGCTCAGGTACGCCCGCAGCTCCGCGACGCCCTCAAAGGCGGGGTGCTGCCGCGCGGCGCCCGCCGTCGCCTCCGCCGCTCCTCCCGCTCCTCCCGCCGCTCCTCCCGCCGCCTCCCCTGCCCCGTCGACCGCTGCCGAGCATGCGGCAGGCAGCTCTGCAGCAGCCGCCTCCGCCTCGCCTGGGCCCAGCGCGGCCGTGCCCGCCGCCGCCTCGCTCGCCGCCGCCGCCTCGGCCTCCGCCGCCGACTCGGCCACCAGCGCGCCGGCGGCGTGCATGTGCTGTGCCACCAGGTGCAATGCCTGGGGGTGGCGCCAGGGCCGCGCGTGCTGCAGCCCCACCTCCCGCAGCAGGCCACCGCACAGCTGCTCCAGGCGGTGCCAGGGCAGGTAGGCGTGGCCCTCCTCCGCCGCCGCAGCAGACAGGCACTGCTGCGCGGCCATGGCGGCGCGGCTGACCAGGTCGGGAGGGGCGCCCACCTTGGCTGCCAGAAGGTCCACCTTGCTGCGGGCAGGAGGCGGAGTGGTGGTGGTGGTGGGAGTGGGGGGGAAGTGGGGGGGTGTCGGGGGCTTTTGCGGGGCGCGGCGCGGCGCAACCATCGCTCCCCACACACAACGCAGCGCCGCGCCGCGCCCGGCGAGCAGCCTCCCGCGGCGCATGCACAGCGCCGCCCCGCCAACGCCCACACGCAGGCGCCCCTGACCCGCCCCGCCCCGCCCCGCCCCCCGCACCTGAAGGGCAGCCCGAAGCCTGCCAGCGCGGCGTACGGGTCTCCCGCCACCCGCCGCACCGTCTGCGGCCCGTAGCGCTCCGCGATGCGCTGCGCCAGCGGCAGCGGGATGCCGTGCTCCTTCAGGAAGCGCACGCCGTCGCGGGTGCCTGCGAGGGGTTTAGGGTTTAGGGGTTTAGGGTGTAGGGTGTAGGGGGTAGGGCTGGGCCTTGCCACCATGGCGAGGCAACAAAGAGGGGCGGGCGGCGTGGCGCGCGAGCGGCTGCGCCACCGGCGGCCGGGCAGGCGGCGCGTGCCCCAGCCTGCCCGCCGCCCCAGCCAGGCAGACAGGCAGAGCCCAGCTTCGGCCTGGCAGAGCCCAGCTGCAGCCGGGCAGGCAGCCAAGCAGGTGCAGCTAGCCAGCCAGGCAGGGCCCAGATTCGGGCGGGCAGACCAGATCCAGGCAGGCCCCTCCCCCCGCCCCACCCTTGGTTGCGTCCCAGGCCTGCTTGATCTTCTCCGCCTTGCCCGCCCCGATGCCGTCGCACTGCTCCAGGTAGCGCGCCGCGGAGCGGCTGTTCAGCTTGGCCTCGATGTCGGCGCCCCACTTGTCCACCAGGCGCTGCAGGGGCAAGGCGGGGAGGGGGCGGCGGCGGCGGGGGGGTCAGGGCAGGGCACAGGCTGGGAGAGGGCATGGCCGGGTGGCGAGGCAGGGAGGGGAGCCTGCCCGACGCCAGGCCTACTGGCAGCCGGCGCACAGCTGGGGGTATCCGCATCCCCGGGGAGGCTCTGGGGAGGCTCTGGGGGAGACGCTGGGGAGGTTTCTTGCGCGTTTGTAGCAGCACCTCCCCCTCCCTGCAAGCCTCCCCCTCCCTGCCAAGCCCACCTGCGCGGTGACGGGGCCCACCCCCGGGATGGCGCCGCCCCCCAGGTACGCCACCATCTCGCTGTCGCTGGCCGGCCTCAGCTCAGACAGGTCTGTGGCCCGCAGCTGCTCCCCGTACTGCCGGTGGTGCACCCAGGCGCCGCGCAGCAGCACGGACTGCCCCACCGCCACCTGCAGCGCAGCACAGGCCAGCGCAGCACGGCACGGCACAGCGCGTGAGCCAAGCCCACGCGGCACACCTGCGCCCGCCGCCGCCTTACGGTTGCCGCCGACCCCGGCGCATGCACAGAGGCTGCCGCTGGCTTGCCTGCGGCAGGTTTCCGACCACTGTGATGACGCGTTTCTTGCCGCGGGCGAGCTTGGGGGCGGCCCCCGCCGCAGGCGGTGCCGCCGCGGCGGCCGCCGCGCCATCCGCCGCCGCGTCCGCTGCCGCGGGTGGCAGGGCGGCTGCTGTCAGTTGCAGGCGCAGCACGGTGTATGCTGTGTCTGCTGAGCGGTACGTCACCTTCTGCACCGTACCCTGCACGCTGACCTGCCCGCTGGCAGCCGCAGCCGCAGCCGCAGCCGCAGCCGCAGCCACGGCCGGCGGCGCCTCGGTTTGCCCGCCGGAGCGGCCATCTGCAGGCCAGCCGCTGTACAGCGGGGCCGAGGGTGGCATGGGCGGTGCGAAGGGGGCGTGCTCGCTGGGCGCATACCGCGGCGCAGGCTCTGCTGCCGGCTGCACCACAGGCGCCACCGCGGTGTGCAGGCTAACGGTGCTGCCCGGCGGCGGCCCGACTGGAGGCCACTGCTCGCCGGCTGAGGCTGCCACGGCTGGCAGCGTGCCCTGCCGCCTGTGCCTGCTGCCCACGGGTCCCGCTGCTGCTGCCCACAGCCCGCGGCTGGACGGCAGAAACCTGCCGCCCAGCGGCGGGCGCCCGCTGGTGCCGGCGGCGGCGCCGCCGCTGGGGCTGCGCGGCACGCGCGCCGCCGCGGCCAAAGGAGCTGCAGCTGATGCAGGGCTCGCCGCACAGCCCCCTGCGAGCGTCATGAGCGCCTGCTCCGCACCCAGCGGTGCGATAGACCTAGTGGGGTTGCCTTCAACCAGAACGCCCTTCACGTGCTCTAGCAGTCGTTTCCTCAACATGCGGCCATGCCGCCACCGCTCTAGAGGCGAGCGGAGGCCGCACACATGCCCTGAGATGGCGGGGTAGATAGCGAGGGCTCTGTCCAATCTCAGGCGAGCAAGCAGTGTCCAATGGATTGAGCTACAGGCGCCGGCCAAGAGCAAACCACTGGCGCGCCCCTTTTTCTGCGCCCGGGCCTTTCCTCCGCCGTTTTTGCACGGCTGCAGCAGCAGCGGGCGCCGTAGCTTGCCAGGCATACCTTTGACAATCGCAGCAGAGCCTCCCCCCGCCCTCGATCGCTTATCTGCGCCCAGCCTGACGCAGCCTGTCGAACTCCCATTCGAACGCTAGCGAGCCCTCGTGCACCTGGCAGCGCGGGGCGGCGGCGGCAGCAGCATGGCATACTGCAGGCAGCAGCAATGGCCGTGCACGCCGGAAGAGGTGGGCCGTGTTGTGGCGGCGGCTGCACCGCCCGCTGTGCCGCCGCTGTGGACACGCTCGCCCACGTCGCTGCTTTGCTTACGCAGATGTATTTCAATGCAAAGGATGAGCTCATAACCATCGTCCCCAGCTTTTCGCTGCCCACCGAGAATTGCACCTGCCTCTGCATCAGCGTGAGTGCCACGCTGCCGCCGCCTGCCCCGCGCCCTGCTCTGATGCAATGCTCAGCTGGCAGACACGCAGCAGCTGCTCGACAGCCAGGTGACCGCCCTGGGCCACTGTGGGCTTTTACAGTAGCCACCGTGGACCTGTCCCTGCCGCAGGGCGAGTGGGGCCCCTTCCACCCCAACCGCGAGTGCCAGGTGCCGCTGTGGCTGGCGCACACGCTGTGGAAGCGCAAGCGGTGCGCCATCAAGGCGCCGGCGTGGATGGGCGTGGAGCACCTGGACGCGGTGCTGGGCCTGGAGCGGCAGGACGCCTCCGCCTTCCAGCCGCTGCCCTTCCACTACATAGAGGTCGCCCACTTCCTCTTCACCTCGGGAACAGACGGCAACCTGCCGCAGGAGGTGTTTGGGGATGAACTGGCGCGGGTGAGAGGCGGGTGCGGGAGGGAGCTAGCGGGGGGCAGCGCTGGGGCTCACGGGGCGCGGGGCGCCATGCGGCTGCGTGCCCCTGGCTGTCGTACTGGCATGCCATAGCCTGCCGGCCGTGCCCTGCCCTGCTCCTCAACCCTGCCCGAGCCCTGCATTCATCCACGACCTGCCCCCAACCACCACCACCCCACACCACCGCACCCCACCCATCCACCCCCGCCCGCAGGTGAAGGACCTGGTGGAGCTGGTGCAGAAGGCGCGGTGGAACAAGATCATGGCGGGGCTGGCCACGCTGCAGGGGGCCATCACCGTCAAGCTCAACAACCTGGCGGCCATGGAGATCAACGCGGGTGGGGGGCTGGGGGGCGGGCGGGCAGGGTGGGGCGTGGCTCACGCTGGGCCCCCTCCATCTCGGGGAGGGCAGCCCTTACTGCCCCACAACACATTCACTTGCCTGATCAGCACGCGCCCATCGACACACTCACACTCACACTCAAACACACACCACGTGCCCCCCCCCCCTCTTCTCCCAGTGCGCCCCTTCTTCCTGGGCTCCCTGGACATGTTCTTCTGCTACCAGCGCATGGAGGAGGCGGCCATCGGCGGCGGCAGCCAGGCGGGCGCCTCGCTGGCGCCCGCCACGCAGCAGGCGCAGCCGGCGCGGCAGCTGCGCGCGGCGGGCGCGGTGCGGTGACCGCGGCCCGCCGCCGGCGAGCCGGCGGCACTCCCTGGCCCTGCCCTGACTCATCGTCTCGCATTCACCATTCAAGTTACAAGCGGCGTGCAAATGAACATGCCCTGCACCGTCACAGGGCAGGGGCCGCATGCCCCCTGCACGGTTGGCGCCCCTGCTGCATCATGACGTCAGCCGCGCTTGGCTGCTGCCAGCAGCGCCACGCCCAGCACCAGCACCGCGCCGGAGCACCAGTAGGCGGCCAGCGCCCGCGCCCCCCTGATCTCTCGGTACAGGCAGATGCCCCACAGCCCCGCCACAAACAGCCCCGCCTGCATGACGGGCATGGCGACCGCCAGCCCGACCTGCGGATTGGTCACGGCGGCGATGCAGCACGTGTTGCCGGCATTCCACACGGCTCCCGCCGCCAGGCCGGGGCCCGCGGCGCGGCTGCTTGTGGCCTGCACGCAGCAACCAAACCACGTCGGGGGGTGCACACACTGGGCAGGAACAGCGGTGCAGCATTGACCCAAGCTGAGCGGAGCTCAGCACAGTGCCTGCCTGCGTGAAGGTGATGTGCTGGGTGGCGGTGAGGATGGAGGTGTAGAGCGGCGCCACCAGCAGCGCCCCCAGGGCCAGGCTGGGCACAAACTGCACGCCCCGCGCCTCGGGCGGCGCCGCCAGCATGGGCGCCAAGATGAGGCCTGCACGCGGCAGCCGGCGCTGGGCATCGTCGTCAGGCAGCTCCTGCTGGCAGCTGTGGCCGTCCTGCCCGTCCTGCCGTCCATCCCAGCGGTGCCCTCCCACAGCAGCAGCCCACCCGCCTACCTCCGATGCATCCCGCCAGCACAGCCGCCCCCAGGCCCAGCAGCGCCCGGGTGGTGGGGGGCAGCTGCTCCGGCCACGGCTCCTCCACCACAGGAAACACTGCCACCGTCGCCTCGCCGCCCTCCAGCAGGTTTTCTCCCATGCCCTCCGCCCCTGCACCGACAGCACCAGGGACCAGCTCAGGCACGGGGCGACGCACGCCCCACAGCAATGAAAGGCAGGCGCACTCCCGCAACGCTGCCCTCCTCACTGCACAGCTCAAAAACAAGGATCAAGCTTACTCTCTCTGGCATCGCCTCCGTCTGCCTCGCCCCCGCCCACCCATGCCGCCACCGCGACTCCAGCGATGCCGGCCAGGATGAGCGCCAGCGCCGCCAGCGCGCGCCCCATGTGCGCCACCTCGTCGCCAGCCACCAGCACGCCCCACGCAAACGACACGACGACGGCCACTCCGCACCACACGCCGGTGGCCGCCGAGACGCCAATGAGGGCTATGGCGGTAACGGCATTGGCAGCAGAGCCGACAAACAGCGCGCCGCTGAGCAGGCCCCACCAGGAGAAGACCTGCGGGGGAGGTGAGAAGGGGCTGAGCGGGGCGTCATGCTTGAGCAGCACGGCGGCCCCGCACGCTGGCTCACCCGAGGCGGCACCGCCAGCAGCAGGATGCCGGACAGGCCGACGCCTTGGGCCATCCAGTAGTTCATGATCAAGGGCGGCACCGTCCGCGCCTTGGGCAGCTTGGTGAGCACGCCGAAAGAGCCATTGAACACGGCGCTGCAGCAGGCGGGGGCCACCCAGGCTACTGCCGTGACCTGCCGGCAGCGACCGCCACGCCGCCGCTGGCTGTCATTCATGGTGCTGGCTTTCCGGCAGGCTTGATCATGCTTTTCCAATGGTTTGATCATGCTTTCCCAATGGCACCAGGGCTCACCTGAGTGCAGCAAACAGCAAACCAGTGTGGAACGCGTCCATCTTGTGCCGCCGTGATGGCGCCCTCCCTCCGATCACTTCTAGTGATCCGTGGGAGCGTACAGGACGTGACAAAGGCCCCTTTCCGAAAACCTGCGTTGAAGGACACGCTGGCACTTTCTCGAAACATAAAAAAATGCGATGCCTCATTGATCGCACATTGATCGTATTAAAGTTTCGAGCTCAAGGCCTGACCTATGTCCATGCTGGTCTTGTCGACGCGAACTCTGCACCAGGCCACCGCCCGCCTGCCCAGCCGCCGGCACCTGGCCATGCACGCACGGCGCGTGGCGCCTGCGCCTGGCCCAGGGATTGCTGCCGCCCGCCGCCTCCACCGGCTAGCGCCGCCCCGCCTGCACCCGCTAGCGCCACCCCGCCTGTCCGTCCGCTGCCTCGCCAGCAAGAGCGACGGGGACAAGAGCTGGGGAGAGATTGCGGCGGAAGCCGCAGGTCTTGGCAGGCAGGTCCCGATTCCTATTTGGGGAGACCAGCTGGCATGTGCCTCCGCTCCCTGTTGCAGCAGTTGCCCGGCGGATTGGGAACGACTCCCGTGCTTGCCCTGGTCTCTGCCTTGCAGGGACCTGGTGAAGAAGGTTGGCAAGTCGGTGAGCGAGGTGGCCAGCAAAGCGGTGGAGGCTCTGGCTCCTTCTGAAGAGAAGCAGGAGCGTGTGGCGCGGCGTGAGAGCGAGCGGCGGCAGCGGGAGGAAATTTACAGACCAGGTGGGGGAGCGCGGCGGGAAGGCAGACGCGATGCATGCATGCAGGGCGCTGAGAGGCGCAGCGTGTGCTGCCCTACAACACCCACAGCAGCTCACTGCTGCGACACGTGCCTATCACCTCCTGCAGAGGATGCCGGCTTTGGCGGCGGCCTGGTGGGAGGGCTGCTGGGCAAGGCGGTGGGATCGATGCTGAGGGGCGCGGTCGGCGCACTCGGGGAGCAGCTGCGGGAGGCGCAGGAGCAGGTGGCGGACGTGCAGGTGCGCTGCCGGCAGCCCCGCCGTTTGCAGCGTGCTGGGGATGCGCTGGCGTGCTGTCGTTCTGCCGCCAGCCCCAATCCCTTCCCCTGCCCAAACTCTTGTCCCCCGCAGGCCCGCGCGGCACGCGTCATCGAGTCCAGCAGCCAGCTGCGCCAGAAGCTGGGCGGCAGCGTGCAGGTGGGGGCCGCCTTCTCCCAGAGCAGCTCCACCGCCATCATCAACGGCAGGACCAGCCGCAGGGTGACGCTGCTCATGCCGGTGGCGGGCGGCGGCAGGGTGGCACAGGTGGGCCCGCAGCTCTGCGATCTGTCCGTGCTGCCAGTTGCGGCTGTGCAGTTGCCCTGTGCTGTCCCCGGTAGGGCATTCGCCGGTGGCAGACGTGCGGCCACGCTGCACCGCCGCGACGCTATCCTGCTCCCCGCCTCCCTCCCCTGCCTCCCCTGCAGGCGCAGGTGCAGTATGTGGAGGGCGACACCACCGCCGACCAGCTGAGCATCGCGGTGCGGCTGCCCAGCGGGGAGGTGGTGCAGCTGGACGGAGGCAGCAGCCCCGGCGGCCAGATCATCGATGTCAGCTGGCAGAGCGTGGACGATAAGTGACGGCGCCAAGCCGGCCTTGCTGAAATTTTGTGAGGCTCCAGGTCGGCCATGCATGCAGGCGGCGCGCCCGCTGTGCCAATAGCACCAGCCTGCCAACGTTCCAGCCCCCCTACATCTCTTTGATGCCTACCTCTATTCTCTCCCTTCACCCCTTCTCGCCACCTGACCGGCCCGATTTTGCAGCGCGGCCCCAACATGCACCATTGCGCCCTGTCGCCTTTCATTGCTACCCTGCACATTTGCTGTCCCTTGTTGGTGGCCTTTCACAGCCTGAGAATGCATCTTCCCTGCTCAACGCACCACCAGCAGACCGGGGGCCACTTCCAGCACCGGCACCAGAGTGCCTTGCAGCCGGACCCGCTGCCAGTGCCCCCCTTTCAGCCTGCCTGCCGCCCCTCAGATGCAGTCCCCCCGCTCAAGGTAGCCCACCAGCAGGTCGGCCAGGTCAGCGCCGCCCTCCCCCGTCTCCAGCGCCTCTATCTCCGCCTTGCTGCCGCTGGACAGCATGCGCCCCAGCTCCGCCGCCCACTCGGGGGCGGCGCCGCGCAGCACCGCCGACAGGTTGGCGGCCATGGACCGGTCGCGCGCCGTCAGCTCCTGCACGGAGCAGGGAGGCGAGCCGCTGTGGCGCGGGCCCAGCAGGCAACCCGCGGCCTCGAACAGTCGCCCTCTCGCCGCGAGGCACGCACAGGGGCGGATGCGTGGCACCCAACGCTGCTGGGCACGGCCTGCTGCTGAGCTGGTCTCCCAAGGGTTCCGCCCAGTGCCGACAGCCCAGTCCAGCCCAGCCCAGCCCAGCCCCGGCCCCACCTGGAAAGCGCCCGCATCCGCTTGCTGCAGCTGGCTGGAGCGCGCGCCCAGCCAGCCCAGCGTGCGCAGCGCGTAGTGCTGCGACTCCCCCATGCGCGCGCTGCCAAAACGGTACACGCATAGGATGTTGGCCCCCGCCGGGTTCCAGTCCACCAGCCCCACCAGCGGCAGATCGGGGAAGGCCTCAGACAGGCCGCTGAGGAAGGCCCTGCGGGGCGAAGTGGGGCAGGGGTGGGGCAGGCTGGCGATCGTGCATCGGAGCAGTGTTGGTGGGCAATGCCCTGAGCAGCAGCAGCCACAGCAGCAGCCAGCACCCTGAGCGCGCCTCCCACCTGGTTGCCAGGTCAGGCACGCCCTTGCCGGTGGCCAGGATGCAGGGCACGGCGTCGAAGAAGCGCTGCTGCACCAGGCGCTGCACACGGGGAGGCGGGGGGGCACCCACCGTGCTACGGTCACATGTGAGGCGCTGTGCCATGCCTGACCCCCGGTTTCGCGCTGCAATGACGCACTGGATGCAGGGGGTAGCTGCCCCTGCCTGCCCCATCTTCGTTTCTGTCCCTCCCCATCCTCGATTCCGACCAGCCCTCAGCCAGCTGACCCTGCCACTCCCTCTCCGCCACCAGCTGCCTGCCTGCCTGGCCCACCCCGCCAGCCACCTGAAACACGGCGTCCTTCTCCACCACCACCACCAGCTGCGCATCGCTCTGGTAGGCGTAGTGGCGGGAGATGTGGGCGATGTCTCCCGGGATCTGCATGCCCGCGCCGCCCAGCGCCGCGCAGTCGGTCTCGGTGCCTGCGTTGGGAGGCGAGGGGGCACCACACGCAGGCATGGGTGCGCTGGTGTTGCGTGTGACCAAGCAGGGCAGGGCGGACGTGGCTGAAGCTGGGCCAGTCATGGGCTCTGCCGCTGGCTGCAGAAGATGGGAGGAGCAGCCAGGTGGCGGGCCAGCAGGCACCCCACCCGCCCGCTGGTCGTGCACCACCAGCCGCCCCGCCACCAGGCCTTTGCTGCTGGCGGTGATGCCCAGCGCGGAGCGTGGCACTTGCAGCATGCCCACCGCATCCTGGATCGCCTCGCCCACGTCCCGCGGCGAGCGGAAGACCTGCCGGTGTCGCAAGATGGGCCGGGATTGGAGGCATGGCGCGGCATTCAACCTCTGCTCCCAGGCTCCCGCCCTCAGACCCCACCACTGGCCGACCCCTCGCTCCCAGACAGGCAGACACATGCCCGCCTTGCCCCACCTCGAGAGTCTTGAAGCGGTACCACAGCTCCCGCTGGGTGGCCTGCAGCCCCGCCAGCAGCATCTCGTGCACCGCCTCCAGCAGCACCCACAGGCGCGCCACCGCCTCGGCGCTCTCCGGGTGCCGCCCCACCAGCGACCGGCGCTGCGTCAGCTGCTGCATGCGCAGCACGTGCGGCCCGCCGCCGACCTCCCCCTCCTCATCCTCCCCGCCCGCCGCACTCTGAGCCAGCGCTCGGTTGCCGGCGTCGCGCTGCACCGGCTCAATGTCGGGCAGCTGCCCCTGGCACAGCTGGCTGACAAACCAGAGGGTGGCGCTCTGGATGCGGCGCACCACCTCCTCAGGCGACGCGTCCATGTCCAGCCCCGGGTCGCCGCCACTGCCCTGCCCAGGCTCGTCTGCCTCCTCCAAGGCTGCCCCATCCTCCTCCCACTGCGACTCGCCAGCCAGCCGGGCAGCCGCGCCCTCGTGCCCGAATATGTGGGCCAGCAGCTCGTTGGCCATTGTGAAGTCAGTTTGGTGATGTCAATCTCATCTGTGGAGGGCCAGCAGCCCGTTCCTGAGCAGCAGGGGCAGCTCCACTCGCTTTCCTCCTCTGGTGTCGATTCAAACCTATAACCGCAGCTCAGGTCCGAGCCCAGGGCGCCTTTGCCACAGCATGAAGCGCAAGGGATTTGTGCCTCCCAGGCGGCTGCACCCTACGGCGCCAGCACAGACGGCGCCAGCCAGCACGGCCGCGGTCGCTGTGTTTGACTGCGTGTTCACCCAGCGGCGGGGCAGCGCTGATGGCTCGCTGCGCCTCACGGGCGTCAAGGCGCAGGTGCTGGATCTGCAGCAGCGGGAGGCGGCGGCAGGAGTGCTGCCCGCGCAGACTACGGCGGTGCTCCATGCCGCTCATGCCGCTGCCATGGCGGCTGTGGCGGCCGGCGAGCCGCTGGGCCCGCTGTGGCAGGACGGCGAGCCGCCGCCAGACCTGGCTGTGGGCAAGGCGCATGTGCTGATCGAGGACGACCGAGGGGCGGCGATTGGGCAGGAGGAGTGGCAGCTGAGGCAGCGCATAGCGGCGGAGGTCGCGGCAGGCAGGCCCGGCACCAGCGGCGCCGACATCCCCGCCCACAACATCGGTAGGTGCGCAGCACCAATGCCAGGCAGCTCAAGTGAAGGCAAACTCAAAGGCAGAGGGGCGCTGAGTTTAGAAGGGCAGGCGGTATCCCATCTGTGAGCTGCCAATGTGCAGGCGCCAAGATGCTGGCGGGCATGGGCTGGCGCCCTGGCCAGCCAGGCGCCGCGGCGCTGGTGCTTCCAGCCTTGAAGTGGGACCGCGCGGGGCTGGGCAGCAATCCCCACGTCAAGCGGCTGGGCGCGCCTGCAACCAAGTTCCGGCGGGCGGCGGCCGCCACCTCGCCCACATCGGCGGCTCCAGCGGCAGCGGCGGCGGCCGCGGAGCCCTAGTCGGCAGCAAGCCTTGCATCATGAGCGGGCACGAGATGAACCGTGTCCTTGCGCACTCATGTGAACCAACTCATGTGAGCTATGCAGCACATGCAGCATGGAGTTGATATTGAACCTGACAGCCTACTCCTCAGGATCTGCAGCAGCGCCATCCTCGCTGTCGCTGTCGCCGGCCAGCATGCTGGGCTCGAGCGACCTGCGTGAGCGGCTCGGCTTCCACACCACCAGCTTCCTGCGGCCCCCCTCGCCGATGCTCTCGTGCATCAGGCCCCAATCCTCCGCCAGCACATGTATCTGCGCCAGGGCGGTGCGCCATGGCCAGAAGTGCAGCGCAGTTGGGCTCGGCAGGCAAGCAACAAGCTCCCCTTGCGGCCCTATAGGACGAGGCAGGGCAGGCCGGCCGGCAGGGCAGGCAGGACAGGCAGCAGGGGCCCCACCTGCCAGCGGTCCCTGGCCGAGAAGCTGCGCGGGAAGACCAGCTGGCGCTGGCTGGGGTCGGCGCTGAAGGCCTGCCGGGCAGCGGGGGAGGCCGGTGTCGGTGGCAGGTGGCTGGCGGGGGAGGCCGGTGGCCACCTACCACAGATGGCCCAGGAATAAAGTGTGTGCGGCTTGAGAGGCAGTGGCAGGCTGTGCGGGCAGCCGCACCTTGAGCTGGCACCTGAGCAGGTACGCCATCTCCCGATCCAGGCCCCCCCGCCTGCCGCTGCTGGCACTGCCCTCCTCCTGGTCGCCAGCTGGACGGGACGGGGCGCTGGCTGCTGCCGGTGGCTCCGCCATCCAGCGCTGCCGCCTGGACAGAGCCGCCGCGGCTGGCAGCTCGGGCGGCTCGGGCAGCCACCCCCTCCCGCCGGCGCGTGCAAGCCTGCGCTCCTCCTTGCGCTGCTCGCGACCTGAGCGCCCGCGCAGCCTGCTGCCGCTGCTGCCGGGGCCGGCAACGCTCGCCTCCTCGGATGTGGTGAAGGGGCTGCCGCGCCGGCGTCCAGGCACTGGCGGGGTGGCTGGCTGCACTGTCGGCGCAGGAGAGAGGGGCTGGGAGCGGGGAGACCTAGGCGAGGGCGGCGCCTCCACCTCTTTATACCTGAAGCCGCATGCCGGTGCTCCCTCCGCCGTCTCTTCCTGCGCTCAACCAGCAGGCAGGCAGGTGCCAGGCTAGCCATGAGCATGGGGAGCAGGAGTGCCAGGCTGCGCTAGCCGCGGCTGGCTGAAGGCTGAGCAGACGCTCCGCAGAAGCCCCACCTGCTCTCCCGGCATCTGCGAGGCACCTTGCTCGCCAGCGGGGGCTGCCGTCTGCACCGTTGCCCTCCTGCCACCGCCGGCGCCGCCGCCGCGGCCAGCCCTGCCCGCTGGCGGCTTCCACGCGGCCACGATCAGCAGCCAGTCCGCGCCGCAGGCTGCCGCGTGCACCTGCATGCCCTGCAGCGCCTTGACCGGCCTCCCCACCGCTTTCTTGTTGGTGTCGCCGTGTCCCAGCGCACCATACTTTCCTAAAGAGAGATGAGGGTCCGCAGCGAGTGGACAGCAAGCAGTACCACCGCCTCCGCTGCACGACTCATCCAGGCGGGTGCATTGCAGGTCGGTGGCACGTGCACGCAGCATGGCAGCTCACCCGCCCCGAATGTGAACAGCCTGCCGTGCCCATCCACCACCGCTGCAAAGCGGCCGCTGCACGAGGCCGCCAGGCAGGCGGCATCCCGCGCCCAGGCCAGCCTGGAAGGCGTGCACACGCTCCTGCTGCTGCCGCCCAGCCCCAGCTCGCCTGCACGGCAGCAAGGGCAGCGCCGCGGTTGGCCATGCTCATCAGGCCCTCAGCGCTGCCAATGCTGCAGCACATCCAGCTCTGCATCTGGTGCTGCCAGAAGGGGCAGAGGCGAGCATGCACACAGCCGCTGGGCGCGCCTTGGCCTCCCTGCCCCCAGGCAAACACCTCGCCCTGCTGCGTGAGGGCGTAGAGGCTGCCGTTGCCGCAGGCCGCCGCCACCACGCCCTGCCCGGCGGCGGCCTCCCCAAACCCGCCGCCGCTGAGCTGGTTGGTGCGCTGCAAGCCGTGCCACGCCGCGCTGGGGCCTATGTCGGCCAGGTGCCAGCAGCAGTCTCCCACCCTGCCCACGCCGCACTGGCCGTGCTCGTTGGACCCACACACCAGCAGGCGCCCGCTGGCCGTGATGGCAGCGGTGTTGCGCCCACCGCAGCTGACTGCTGCGGCCGCCTCGCCGGGCGGCAGCCACACCTCGCTGAACGCTGCAGCCCTCAGCTGCACCAGTGGCAGGCCGCACGCTCCGCTGCCGTTGCTTCCCGCGGCGTGCAGCTGGCCGCTGGCGCTCAGCAGCACAGAGTGCTCCTCGCCGCATGCGGCTGCTGTGGGCAGGCCCATGGCCGCGGCGGCCGACGAGTCAACCGCCTCCAGAGGTGCTGCCACCCAGGCGGCGGCAGCGGCAGCAGGGCTGGCGCCTGGTGGGCTTGCGCTGGTGCTCAGGCCCAGCTGCCCTGCACAGTTGCCGCCCCATGCCCACACCGTGCTCTGGTCTGTCACCACCAGCACGTGGCCACCAGGCCTGCCGTTGCCTGCAAGGCAGGTGCCTGAGGGACCCCACACCTCAGGAGGAGGAGGACTGCTGGGCGACAGGCAGGCAGCCATGCTGGGCGAGACCAAGGCCTTGCATGGCCCTCTTTCTGATTCGCAGCAGGCAGGCGTGCATCTGGCTGTCGTAGCCACCCTTGCGCCGCACCTTGCCAGCAGCCCCCAGCGGCGACGGCCACCGCCCTGCCGCAGGGAGGCCGCCACAGGCCTGTCCAGTCCAGGCCTCCCTGCTGTGCCCGGAGCTCGCTGCCGCTGCTGCTGGCCGCTGAGACCGGCAGGCACCGTGTGTCCAGCACCGCGCCATCCCACATCAGCAGGGCCGCAAAGTCGGCACCGGCAGCCACAGCCTTGACGCTCAGCCGGCTGTGGGGAACCAGCTGCGGGGCAGCGAGCTCCGAGGCTGCATTGCCGCTGGCAGGGCCGTCGTCCCCGCTGGCCGGCAGTGTCAGGCGCTCCGGGGCGGTGAACCGGCTGCTGCCGCCGCTCCTGGCGGCGCAGCAGGCCGGCAGGATGTTGCGGCCGGCGAGGAAGAGGCGGCTGGTGTGAGCAGCCATGAACAGCTGCCGAGCCTGGTGCCTCGCCGCCGGCGGTGGCACATACCTGCAGGGCATGGTGGCCAATGGCATGCCAGATCAATCAAGGAGAGTGGTGGGAGCGATGCCGACCGCCGCCCCCGCTCACCCGTACTCCCGCCGCAGGGCCGCCTCCCATGGAGCGCTGGAGAGCAGCAGCGCGGCCCAGCTCTTGCAGACCAGGCTGCAACGCGCCAGGTCCTCGCTTGCAAGCCTGGAGAACGCAAGCAACAGGGGGTCCAAGGCCGCACCCCAACGATTGGCCCCTTCCTCCTCCATGTCTCGTCAGGGCTCCCTACCCAGTCGGCTCAATGTCGCAGCGCAATGCAGGCGGCGATCGCAATCTGCGAGGCGAAAACCCTACCGATGCCACTGGACACTGTCAGTGGCACTCATTTGGCCCATGCTCTTTGACCTTCCCCCTGTATTTCAGCCACGATGGTTCGCATAATAGACGGGGAGATCGTGGCAGGTGCTCCAAACCAGCGATCAGGCTCCTGCTGAAGTGTGCACTGCCTGTAACTTGCTCTTGGTGCTGAACCCACGGCTTTGGCTGATACAGATGACGACCCCAGAGTGACGAGTGGGCGCCGCCCGGCCGCCGCCGGTGGGGTGCCAGCGGGAGCGGCAGCGGCGGGCACGGGGTCTCCGCCTCCAGCTCAACCTCGCTCTGGCTTCGACTTCAGTGCGCCGCCGCTGCGGTGAGTAGAGGAGCGTTAGGAGGTCAGAGTGTGCATGCACAGTAACCCTGAGAGGAGAGGAGCGATGTATCGCAATAGCGTGGAAGGGCCTCTTTCCAGCGTCTCGTTGCTGCCGCCGGCCTCTCACGCTTCTCTTCTCTTCTGCCCCACCGGCGTAGGGTTGTGCCTGATGAGACCGGCACAAACCTGGGAGCCCTACCAAACTTTATCATTTTTGGCGTGCTCTTCAGGCCGCAGCATCTGCTCATGCTGGTGGCCGCCGGCATGTTCTTTGGCTGGCGCGGGCTGCTGGTGGGAGGCATCCTGTGTGAGTTGCCCCTTACCCGCTGCGGTGCATCTCCCTGCCTGTCCGGGGCGCGCCTGGGGCTGCAAGCTGCCCTGCATCTTCCTATCGGCCCAGGGGGCGCCTGCCCCGGGCCGGTGTGCCATGCGCGGCACGGCACAGCCCTCCCTCAACACCAGCGCCTGCTTCACTGCTGCAGTATATGTCTACACGGCAAACCAGCAGCCCCAGCCTGCCCCAAACCCAGCCGGCACAAACCGGCGTATGGCCGCCGCCCAGGACTACTTCCAGCAGATGCTCGGGCAGGCGCCGCTGGGCAGGGGCGGCACGGCGGCGGGGAGCGGCGGCCGCGCGCCGGTGGGCCAGCAGGCTTCCGCCGACCCGTGGACCGGCAGGGGCAGACCCCGCAAACTGACAGACAACTAGGCGGCGACCTGTGTTCATACCATGCCGCATCTGGATGTAAGACGCATTCTGAACAGTCGCCAGGCGCCCCCCCCACGCTGAGACCGCTGTGCTTTGCACATGAGTACGTGCGGCATCCAGAGTTTGCATTGTTTGTTTTGTCGTTGTCAACTGAGCTAAGTATTTGCTTACTTACCTTTACCGGCTCTACGTCTGCTCTGCTCAACGGACAACAGCAGAATGGAGCTCACTCCTGCCCATGGTGGTGTTTTGGCGGTGCTCGCTGGTGGCATCATCGTCCACGTGAGTATTCCGTGGTGGTAGTGGCGGGCGCTGCCAGGGTTGCGGGCAGACCTAGCGGGATGAGCAAATGGGTGATGTCAGCGGCTCAGAAGCTTCGGAGAGTGCTTGCCTGCATAATTCGCTGTTCCAAGGCGATTCAAGTCCGCCCCCGGTGGATCGTACCCTGGTCCGCCACAGCCGCAGGGGGCTCACCGCCTCCCGCCCGCCGCCACCGAGCACCGCCTCTCCTTCCCCCGCCCCCCTCCCTTCCCGGCGTAGAACATCTGGATGGGCATGAAGGTGGGCCAAGCCCGCAAGAAGTACGGGATCACATACCCGACCCTCTACGCGCCTCCCGGCCACAAGGATGAGAAGGTGAGCTGCCTGGCTGCCGTAGGGTCGCACCACCTCCAGCGACGCAGTGTGGCACGGGCCTGACCTCCTCCACCACCGCTCCCTGTGCAGGCCTTCAACTGCGTGCAGCGCGCCCACCAGGTGAGTGGCTGGGGAGGCTGCAGCGTGCCGGACACCCTGCCGCCAGTGCCGGTCTGCCTTCCGACAGTGCCCTCCCCGTGCCTCTGCAGAACTCTCTTGAGAACCTGCCCTCCTTCTATGCCCTGCTCCTCACCGCCGGCATCAAGGCGAGTGGGCCCAGGCTTGCACACAGCGTTCGGAATGGCATGCGTGCTTTGGTGGGGATATGGGTGAAACCCTCTGGGCGCCTTACCCACGTGAGCCAACACTGTGTGCCCTCCTGCTGCAGTATCTCATCAGTGCCTCCATCGCCGGGGCGGTGGCGCTCGTCGGCCGCATCTTCTTCTTCAACGGCTACAGGTCAGGGGAGAGGAGTGAGGAGGCGACGGGGTGGTGCAGCCGCTGGTGCCCTGCCAACCTGCCTGCCTCACCTTTTGTGTTGGTGTGCGCGCTGGCCCCGTGCAGCACCGGCGACCCGAAGGCCCGCTACCGGGGAGGCTTCACCCACTTTGGCACACTCGCACTGCTGGGCATGGTCATCGGCTGGTCGGCTCAGCTGCTGGCGCCTGTGGTGGGGCTGTGAGCTTTGTCCGGCGGCTACGTGACAGAATGCGGGTTTCTCTTGCACCGGTGGCAACCTCTTTTGGGTAGCTTCTGTGCCATTGACTGATTGTATAAAAGCATGCACTTCTCAGCTCGCTTCTATCTGTTTGAATTTGATTGAAACGCCGCCGACCGCCACCTCAGCACCTGGCACACCTGGCAGCTCTCGATCCAGTCCCCACATCCTGAGAGCCACACATTTCTCGCTCCCATGCTTGGAAAGGCTGGCGGAGCGCAAAGATGGAGGGGCAGAGTGAGGAGGTCTGCAGCCGCATCAGGCAGCTGCAGGTGAGCTCGCCCTGCGGTAGGCACGTGCTACAGCATGCGTGCGGCTGCCTGGCCTGCGTGGGAGGCCTCCTCGGGCCACCCGATCACATTGGCAGTTTTCTGCCTGCCTGCCACGGCCACTCCCGCAGGCCGCCGACGTGCCTTCGGCGCTGCACGGCCTCCTCAGGCAGGCCCAAACCCTGCTGAAGCCGCCCAGCCGCAGGGTGGGAGGCGCCACGCCCCCGCCGCCCGCCTCTGCCGCCAGCCGCCACGCTTTGGTGCTGGGCATCCTCGCCTTGCTGGAGCGCACGGCGCTGCTGGCCACACAGCAGCACGACCGCAAGCTGATCAAGGCAAGCAGGCTCTGGGAACGGGCGGGGAGGTGTACAAGGAGGTGTGCCTGGCAGCGCTGGAGTCACAAGGCAATGCACCCCCCCAGACACACCCCACCACCACCACTGCTCCTTCGCCCGCCTCTCCACCCATCTGCAGGACGCGCTCGCCCAGCTGCTGTCCGCCTTCCAGCAGCACAGCTGGCTGTGGGAGCTGCTGCTGCGCAGGCACCTGCCCGACCTGCTGCAGCACGCGGCGGCGGCGCGGGTGTTTGTGGAGGCGGTGGCCCAGCTGCCGGGCGGTACACAGGCGCGGGTGTACCGCCTGTGGGCCCAGCAGCTGCTGCAGCCTGCGCAGCAGCCCCTGCAGGTGCCGTTGGTGCTGCAGCAGGTGCTGCTGGAGCAGCTGAGGGTATGCTTCCATGCTGGCGGCGGCATTGATCTGCCACCGCTGGCAGGGGAGCCGCAGCGGGAGGAGCTGGAGGGTGCCATCGGCAGTGCAGCAGCAGGAGCCCCGGCAGCAGAGGCGGGGCTGGCCGACCCGTTGAGGCAAGAGGCGCGAGTGGCGCTGCGGGAGCAGCTGCCACACCTGCTGCACCTCCTGCTGACCGTATGTTGCAGCGGCGATGCCGCTGGCGAGCAGCTGTCCGCAGCATCGAGCAGCCAGCGGCAGGAGGGCGGCAGCAGCGGCCGCGCCTCGGGCAACGCGCCCCACGCCCCCGACATTGCCAGCATGCAGTCAGCTGCGGAGGATGCACGGCCGCCCAGGCGACAGCAGCCAGCCGGCGGCGGCAGCAGGCTGCGCGAGCAGCATGCCGTGTCGGTAGCAGCTTCCAGCCCGGCTGGGTCGCAGAGCCAGGGCGTCGGGGGTGGCAATGGCGGCAGCGGCAGCGGGCCCAGCCCTTGCCCCATTCGTGACAGCGTGCTGCGCCATGCTGTGGTGCTGGTCAGCAGGCTGAGCGACCCTGAGGCTCTGCATGACATGCTCGCCATCCGCATGCAGCGCCAGGCAGCAGGCGCTGCCTCCGGCAGCGACAGCGAAGAGGGAGACGAGGAGGGGAGGCCGCAGGCCCCCCCAGCTGCGTCAGGGGCCCGCCATGCGCAGCAGGAGCAGCAGCAGGCTGTCCTGAGTCGGCGGGACCTGAGCAAGGTGTGCGCCTCGCTGGCGCTCATAGAGGTGTGCCTGGATGGCATGCTGACCCTGCAGCCCCTGGCCGCCGCCGTGCACAGCCAGCTGCACAGCAAAGGCAGCAGCAACGGCGGCGGTGATGGCAAGCAGGCGCGGCAGCCGGCAGGCTTGGGTAATGGGGGTGGACCAGAGGTGGGGACGGGAGCTGAGGCTGAGGCGGCGGGCGTCGGCGAAGAGGCGGCCGCAGCGGCGTTTGAGGCGGAGGAAGAGCTGAGGCACACGGCTGGGCTGATGCTGGGGATGCACCGCGAGCTCTGCCGCCTCCGCTTTGAGCAGCAGCAGCAGCAAGGTGAGGGCCACGCCGGCAGAGCGTCACGGGTGGCGGCCAAAGGCTGAGCTGTTTGTTGACAAGGTGCTGACAGCTGAGGCTGCCCTGGTTGCTGGCTGTGTGCAGAGGCAGGCAGCTCGGGTCCACTTCGCTCCGGCGCCAGCAGGCGGCGGCAGCAGGCGCCGCTGCTTTCCCTGCCAGCCTGCCAGCGGCTGGTACGCATGCTGGCTGCCGTGCAGCAGGCAGAGGCAGGCCCAGCTGCCGCCGCCGCCACCCCAAGCCCCTCTGCCAAAGAGCAGCACCAGCAGGGCGGCGGTGGGGCTGGCGGCAGCACCTGCGCCGTTGCGGGCATGCGGCGGCTGGCGGCGCAGCTGCAGCGGTCAGCGCTGACGCCGGGCGCGCCCCAGGGGCCGCCTGCGCTGCTGCTGGTGCCGCCGCAGCTGGCGACGCAGGGCATGGTGCTGGTGCGAGAGGTGTTGGAGGCCGGCGGCGGCAGCCCGGCAGCAGGCAGCGCCAGCTGGCATGCTGACATGGCGCAGCGGGTGGCCGCCATCTACCTGGCATGCTACCAGGCCATGTGGGGTGCCCGCGTGCTCCAGTCGGCGGAAGCGTACCAGCTGCTGCTGTCTGCTGCGCGCCTGCGCATGCTGCTGCGCTCAGGCGGCGGCCTGGCACCAGGTGCCGGCGCTGTGGACGACGAGGCGGCAGCGGAGGCGGCCCTGGTGGCGCACCACGCTGTGGGCAGCCGGCGGCGGCGGCCACGCAGCGCGGCTCACGAGCTGGCTGGCGCTGGAGGGGCGGGGGTGGCTGCTGGGAGCGGCCCTGCTGGCCCAGTTGCCAAGCGGCTGAAGGCAGACCCAGGCAGCGGGGATGCGGTGAAGGAGCTGCTGCAGCTGTTCCAGGCGCCGCCGCCGGGGCAGCAGCAGGTGGCAGCGCCGGCGGCAGGCGCCAGCAGCCAGCAGGGCCAGCAGCCGCAGCGGCAGGGCCGCAAGCGGGTTGTAGTGGTGCCCGTGAAGCAGGAGCCGCAGCAGGCAGAGCAGCTGGCGGCAGCGCCTGCACGCAAGCGGATCGCCCCGCAGCAGATTGCGCCCGCACCTGCGGCAGCGGCAGCTGGTGCAGCCGGCACGCTGCAGCTGAGCGGCTCCGCCGCTCCCGAGGAGCAGCCGCAGGAGCTGCTGCCAGGACTTGGCGACAATGCGCAAGGAGGGCAGCAGGCCGGGGATGTGGCGGCAGGGGAGGAGCGCAGCCAGCAGCGCGTCATCATCAGCAAAGCCGGCAACCTGACAGGTGGTGGCGTGGCGCAGGCGTGCCTCTGGCCGCTGTGTGCGCCGGCTCGTGTGCATGTGCTGCGCAGCTGGCCTGATCTCACCCAGCCCCGCGCATGCTGCTGCCGTGCGCGTGCGGTGCAGAGGAGCAGCAGGAGGAGATGTGGGCGGCGTACATCGCAGACAAGGAGTTTCTGGCTGAGATGCTGGGGGTGCGTGCGGTCGACATGCGGCGGCCCACCCGCCTGGCAGCACCTGCCTTGCTGCGCGGCGGGCCTGACCAGCGGCCGCGTGCCGCTAGCATGCTTGCCCTGCTTAGCAGTCCTGGTGCTGGGTGTGCCGAGCATGGGGGGTGCTCCCTCCGAGCCTCTTCTGCCGCGAGCGACGGCCGTGACCTGGCTCCGGGGCTGCTGCTGTGGGCTGCGCCCGCAGGATGCCGACTACCAGCAGTGGTACGACGAGGAGGCGCACCCCTTGCGCAGGCAGCAGCGGCGGGCGGGCGGCCTGGAGGCAGCCTGGGCCGCGGTGCTGGGGGGTCCCGCCGCCGGCAGCTTGGTGCAGCGCGACCTGCCGCGCTCGCTGCTGGAGGCGAGCGGCAAGATGCCGTGGGACGCGGCGGCGGCTGCCAGCCTGAGGCTGCTGAGGCTGCTGCTGCGCGGGGCCGGGCAGGGTAGCGGCGGCGTGGGCACAGCTGCCTCGGCGCCGACACCTGGCAGCAGCGCAGGAGCAGGCATGCAGCAGCAGCAGCAGCAGCAGCAGCAGCAGCAGCAGGCGGCTACCCTGCTGCGCGCCTTCAGCCAGCGGCTTCGGAAGGAGGGCGCCATGGCTGGCGCCAATGCGCTGCTGGGCATCACGGGTGCGGGCTGCCGGGGCGCTGCCAGTGCTGCCCCTCTCGCCCTGATGCCTCATGCTGCGCCGCTGCATGCGCACCTTTCCTGGCGGCTGCCTGGCCTGGTTGAGTTGGAGCAAACTCAGCTACTTGGTCCCCATGCCCGCATGTACTGCCGTACCGTGCGCAGGCCCCACGCAGCTGGCCTGTGCCATCAAGTCAGCGCAGGACGCGCCAGCGGGCGGCGCACTGCTGCTGCTGTCGGCGCAGCTGCTGGGCCTGGTGCGCGGCGACCGCACGCTGGGCGAGTCGCCGCTGTTTGGCGCAGCGCAGTGCGACGCCCGGCAGGGTGCGCATTGCTGGCAGCAGCCCTCGCTCTGCCGCCGCAGACGTCACCTGCTGTCGGTGCTGCCCAGCGGCGCTGCTCTGCCAGCTTGCCTGCCATGGACAGCAACCACACACCCTTCCATTCCTCGAGCAGCTCCCCTCGCTCACCCCCGCCTGGCGCACTTGCTCACTCCCGCGTGCCGCAGAGCGGCAGCTGATCGGGCGCCAGTGGCTGCCCGGCAGCAGCCGGCTGACCGCGCCGCCGCTGCTGGAGGCGTTCGCCCTGCTGCTGGCAGACCTGCTGGATCAGGCGCGGCTGGAGGCTGCGGCCGACCCAGCCAGCAGCTCAGGTGCGGCTGTGGCAGGGCGGGTGTCTGGCAGGCGGGCCTGGCGCTCCTGGGCTGCTGCGGCGTGGCCGTTGGTGTGCAGCTGGCTGCTGGCGACAGGCACTAGGTGGCACAGGCGCCACTGCTGCCCCTGGCCGCCGTGTTGAATGCCTTGTTGGTACTGCTGGCTGCCTGCCCTGTGCTGCCCGCAGGCAAGGCCACCCAGCGACGCGTGCTGCCCATCAACCTCAGCGCCGCCCTGGCCACCCGCCTCATGCTGCTGCCGCCGCCCGCGCAGCACATGCTGGCGCCCGCCTGCGCCCGCCTGCTGCGCCTGGCGGTCGCGGACAGCAGCCCGCAGCAGGCGGTGGCGCAGCTGGCGGCGCTGCTGTGGATGCTGGTGCAGCGGCAGCACGCCGGCAGCAGCGGTGGTGGTACGGATGCGGTACGGCTGCCGCCCGACTGCCCGGCCTGGCTGGAGGATGAGGGTCTTATGATTGAGGGGCCTCGGGACGACTCCAGCCACGGCCATACGCTGCTGCTGAGCCCGCTGCGGGAAGTGCAGGCGGCGGCGGCGGCAGAGCTGCTGGGACGCCTGCGGCAGCAGCTGCAGGAGCTGCTGGCCCAGGCGGAGCCCCAGCAGCAGGGCGACAGCGGCGACAGCAGCTCTGGGGCAGCCCCGGCGGCGGCAGCAGGCGCGGCGGCAGATGAGGTGGTGCCCGCGGCGGATGCCTGCCACGCCGCCATCCAGCTACTGGTGCTGGAGCAGCAGCGGCAGCGGCTGCGGCAGCAGGCCAAGGGCGGCGGCTCTGATGCGGACAGCGAGGAGGAGGAGGTGGTGGTGGAGGAGGAGGAGGGGGAGCAACAGCCGCTGCTGCTTGGGAATGGTGCGGCGGTGGCGGAGATGGCCGGCCTGGCGGCAGCGCTGTGCCAGGCGGGAGCTGCTGCAGGCAGCGCCGTTGCGGCCGCGGTCGACGCAGCGGCGGATGCGGGCGCAGGCAGCCGACCCCGCAAGCAGCAGAAGCAGCAGCAGCAGGTGGAGGAGGGCAGCAAGGCATATGGTGGGGCCAGTGCGGCTGCCGCCGTTCTGGCCGTCTGCAACCAGTTTCTGGAGCCCGCAGATCGGCTGCTGCAGTCTGGGTGCCTGGCTGGGGCCCCGGCGCAGCGGCTGGAGGCGGCCTGCGAGCAGCTGGCGGGGCAGCTGCAGGCGGTGGAGCAGCTGTGCCTGCGGCTGGCCGCCGACCATCCACTGCTGCGTGCCGTGGAGGCAGCGATGGAAGCAGCGCCCACGCTGTGGCAGCCGGCCGGTGAAGAGGAGGAGGAGGAGGCAGCAGATGGCGACGCCGGGCGCCCCAGCAGCAGCGGCGAGGAAGGCGAGGAGGCCGCGGCGCAGCCGCGCCCCGGCGGCAAGCAGCAGCGGCAGAAGCCTGGCGGCGGCGGCGGCGGCGGCGGCGCGGCCCCCGCGGCCGCCGCGGGGCAGCCGGCGCGGCGGCGGCGGCGGCGCCTGCGGGATGTGCGCAACCCTGCTGTGCGTGCTATGCTGGCGGAGGATGGGTGGGGCGGGGAGCTGGATGCCGAGGACCTGTCGGATCTGGAGGACTTCATTGTGTGCAACCCAGGTGGGGGCTGAGGCAGGGGCTTTGGGGTGAAGGAGGTTGGGCCGCCAACCTCAGCGCACAGGCGCGCCAGCGCTGCAGCGCCCACACAGCTGGGGGACTGCCTCGGGAGCCCCCGTCTGAGCTGCTGGGTGCTGGAGGGAGGCTGGGTGTGTGCGGGGAGTGCCATCTCAACCCGTCCCGACGCCCACTCCCGCGCCTGGCGGGCCCCCTCCCCCCTCCCCCTCCCTGCTGCAGACCGCGACTACGACACCTTCTACCGCCGCCACTTCTGGCAGGCCAAGGGCAGCGGCAGCGAGGAGGAGGAGGAGGAGGAGGGGCGGAAG